CCATTGGACCCCCTGGGCAGTCAGTCCCACTTTCCCCCACACTGCTACTACGCCCCTGCATGTCACCGTGTGGCACCAAATAAGTGACTAATTGGTGCACGCATTATTGGATAAATGAAATCAGGCGAAGCCGCGGTAATGTAAGACCTCCTTTTCAGGATCGGGACACACCTACCGCTCTACTCTGGTGTCCTTGGAAAGTTTCCCTGTGCGCTGCTACAAATTATGCCGTTCACAGTCAAGAGATTAGACGTAATCTATAACTCTATCAATGACAGCAACACTTTTACTGACGGTGATGTTATTTATGGGGAAGTCAGGCTGGAAGCGGGGAAAGACTTCCAGATAGAGTACCTGTTCATTAAATTCAAAGGGAAAGCTGAGGTTTTGTGGACCGAGAGGTACGGACAAACCACGCATGTATACCACGCCAAAAACAAATACTTCAGCGTTAGACGTTACTTCATCCCAGACAAAAACAGCAAAAGTAAGTTTGCTTTTCATTCTGCGCTGCGTGCACGGAGGAGCCTGCTTAAGTTAGAAAAACCAAACAAACAAAAAACTAAAAAGAACCACTTAAAAACTAAATTATTTGTGTTCAGTTTATAGTTTTAAAGAATTTAGCAAACAAATAAATTCAGCTTATGGACTAAAGTCAACGCAGTGGAAGGAAATGTTAGCATCAGGCGTTGTTTATGTTTGCTAGTTGGGTGAGCGGAGGGGGAGACTACTTCCAGTTGCACAACAACTGCTCAACCGCAGATCTCTTATGCTGCTGCTCTGTGGTTTCAGCCTAATCTAAATCTGCTTGAACTGCAGAATATTTTGAAAGTTATCTTCTGTGTAACATGCAGCAAAGTTTCTTCCTGTAGAAATGAATTTTCGTCAGTGATTATACCAGTCAGAACACACATACAAGTAAAGCACCAGATCACCAGTTTTTACATGGATTCTGTACTAACAGTGAAAATATGATTAATCAAATCTAAGTAAAAGATAAGAGTTAAAATGATGATTCAGAGCATGATTTGTCTGCATTTTTCAGTGTAAACTTCTAAATTGAGAGTTTTCGTTTTAGACATTTTAATCCATCTTTTACTATATAACTCAAGAAATGAACAGACACTCATCTGTGGCTTGTTTAATACTTGCAGAGATTACAATCATGATTTTTCAGGTTTTTGCCCAGCCTAAAATAACACAGTAAGGTTGACAGATTGTGTTGCTTTCTGCTTGATTTTTCTCTTCAGCGGATGACAGACAGACACTAGTGACCGATGACTTACAAACATGTGAGTATTTGACCGTCCTCTCTCAGCCTGTAGTGGTGCTTGCTTGTGTTTTTACTGAAATATATTTGTGTGCTGTCTGTGTTTGAGCTTTTATTTCATTCAGCTATAGCTTGAGTCACTTGTTGAATGCTGAGACTGCACGTCCGGTGTTGTGTTCACGCTGTCAGTCTGTCACTTTTACACCTTCTGTCGTGTCATCTTCTGCAAAGCTGGATTAAATAACTCTGGCAGATGTCAGGCTGTCTGTTCATTGAAACATGGGCAAACTCTTTGTGCTAAATAAACTCCAGTTAATATGAAAAATCAATGGCCATATCTTTATCTGGTATATAATTGTAATATTTTCAACACACTGAAACTTCATGTCTTGTCATTGTGGCTGGTAAGTGCAATCCTGCTGCAGCATTACACTTAGAGTCGCAGTGTAGTGAGAGCCAGAGTGCTTTTTAATCACTGATGTCTAATTACAAGCATAAAAATCCCTAAACACATTAGCTAAGTGATGCAAACATGCGTTTTTGTTCCTTGAGACATCCGTTGGGCTTGAGGAGTTTTTTGTTCTTTTTCAGCTCTTGTGTTTGTAATCCCTAAATATTTGACTTAAACAGGAAGTCAAATCGAACTCACCCCAGCATCCCTTTACAACGGCCTGCTTTGTAATTGTAGGAGTTGTAACTTAAACATATATCTGAACAATTTCTTCTTAAATTTGTATTTATCTTTTACATTTCTTTTTGCTATTTCTTTTTTTTTTAGACAGCAGCGTTGTTGCCCCAGGAATCCATGTCTACCCATTCAGCTTTCAGTTCCCCTACCAGTAAGAAACATTTCTTTAAATGATTGCAGCGTTAGTAAGAACAAACAGACAACCTCGTGTTTTGTTACTGCTGTGGTTCCAGAAAAGTAAGTGAACACACTGAGGTTGTGTATACATTAAAACAACATTAATATACTGAAGTTTTAGATATGTATATGTATGAATGTGGGCAGATAACCACCAGTAATTTTTATCATGAATTGATTCGTGACTTGGTGAATGTATCAAGTCTGAATTCTGAGCTTGAGGTGATTCAGATATTTGAACAGTCATGGGTCCATAACTCCCTAAACATTCACGGCACAGCTGTAAATCCAAGGATTCGCCTGATTTCACCGCCAGCAGAAATGCCGCTTGCAATGCATAAAGGGTGTGTTCTAAAACATGCAAAACGTGTCAGCATAGCATTAGCTTGAGCCAGTTGTGTTTGCAAACTGGAAGAACATCAGAACATATTTTATTTATTAAGTGCTGAAAAACCGTTAATCCCAAAGGGCTTCACTCGTAATTGTTCTGTTTATGGCTGCTGTATTGTTTATTTTGATATGAAACATTTTATTAAGTCATTTAGAAAATGTGAAAAGCTGTATCGTTTATTTTACAAGAAAGTGATCAACTCATCACAGTTCTGTGGGCTTTGGTGCTTGTTCAATAGGAATTTACCCTCCTCCTTCAAAGGTCATGATGGTAAAATTGCGTACTCGCTGGAAGCCGTGCTGAGCAGATCAATGAGGATGAACCTGAAACGTGAAACTATGGTCAACTTTGTGTCAACGACAAATGTGAACACTATGTCTTGGTTACAGGTATGTGTGTTATCTCATTTGCAGTCATCCTAACAAAGTTGGCACAACCACAGAACAAACAAACATACAAAAAAAAAAGGGTCAGTGGGCGGCAATAACCTACCCAGTGTTTAGACCTGCTTGGACATGTATTGAGCAACTTGTTTCAATATTTGCATTCAGAGTGCTCACCTTGTGAAAACACTGGTTTTTAAAGGCACCAAACATAGTCTTACTGGAAAGGGCCACTGGCTTAGCTTTGAGATCAATGTGGCTGAAGTCTACATATCTGTTTTTGGGAGAATTTAAGTGCATTTGTGCTAGAGCAGAGCGATATGACCAAAAATATTTATCACAATATACATTTGAAAATTTGCGATAACGATATAACTGACGATATAATTGACACTAGACAAAATACTTTACAACTCCACAACTTTATTAGTGCAAAAAAACAAACAAACATCAATCTATTTTCACTTGAACAAGCAGCTGTTTGTTATGTGTTTTAAAGTTATATAAAAATTTAACAGTGCAAATACAAATTCCTTGCTGACAGTTTAACCAAAAGGCATTTCCAGTGGAAACTGGCCGACATGTCCTCAGCATAACCGTGTATAATATCCACAAAACCTAAAAAGAGGTTATACATACACAATACAGTAATATTATGTTTTAGGCACAGTACGTATCACTCCGCGAGGCTCCTGCCTACGATAGCCGTAATGCTCCGACAATCCATCAAGCGGTGCGGGTTCGTAGCTTAGCAAAGTCGTACTAAAACACTTGACAGATTTTTCGAGCACCGTGTACCACATAAAATCGTTTCGAGGTCAGTAAACACAACCAGAATTCATACATAAAGCACACCAGATTATAAGGGCCACTGACGAATTTCAGAAAAATCAAAGGATTGATATTAAGTGTGCCGTATTTTCCAAAAAACACGGTAATAGCGACGGCCCGCTAGCATGCTCTACCAAAAATAGTGCTTTGTTGTGTATCTGACGGACGAAAGCTAAACCAGTTCCACACCACTGAAGTCGCAGCATTTTTACAAACAGATTCTAGTTCATCCATTTCATTCAACAATCCGCTTTTGCCCTTCTTATTCTCCGTCGCCGCCGTGTGCGTATGAAAACAAAGGCACTGCGCATGCGTATTTTACCCATATTCTATCGCGATATTAAATTTTCTTATCGTTGCCCAACATTATACCGGTATTACCGTGAACAGTATGATATGGCCCAGTCCTAATTTGTGCTACATTCTTGTTTTTCTTTCAGACACCGCTGCATGAGTCTAAGGATAAGAGAATGAACATTTTTACCTCAGGAAGTGTATCCATGGATGTTAATCTTGAAAAAATGGGCTTCCAACAAGGTGAGAGGTGTGCAGGTGATACTGACATGTATTTGTCTAAAGCAAAGGTCAGGTTTGACTTTTCCGCTCTGCATTGCAGGAGAAGGATTAAAAGTTGTGGCCTTCATTAAGAACAGTTCATCTCGTGAGATCAAGCCCAAGTACTGTTTGTACAGAAAGCACAGTTTCTTTGCAAGAACAAAGAGAAGGGTCCATACTAAAGACCTCTTCAAAGAGGCGGGAGACGCCATCCCTCCATCT